CTACCGCCTGCTGGCTTTGCGACCTTGGGTAAGTTACTTAACTTCTCTGAGACTCAGTTTCCTCATCTGTTAAAATGAGGCTGTCTATAGGGAAAAACAATTTTTTCCCTCCTATATTCTCAACACAGAGTGCTTCTGGTCACCACTTGGCTTGATTCTCACTCCCGGAGATTCTGGTTTCTTTGGTCTAGGGTATCACCTGGATGTTGGGACCCTCAAAATTATAAAGGGAGATGATAATGCAACACTGTCCAATAAAAATATAAAGAGAGTCACACATATAATCTTATGTTTTCTAGTAGCCACATTTTAAAAGGTGAAATTAATTTTAATATAATATTTATATCTCATTGATAAATAATAAGTAATATATTAATGATAAATTCTACTTGACTCAGTAGAATCCAAATATTAACCTTTCAACAACTAGTGGAACAACAATAGAGACGGTTTACATTCTTTTTCTCTGGCTAAAGCTTTGAAACGGAGTCTGTTCTTTACCCTTACAGCACATCTCAATTCAGGCTGGCTATACTTCAGGGGCTCAGCAGCGACCTGTGGCTTGTGGTCACTGCTTGGGAAAGCACAGGAGTAGTTAATGTGCAACCGAGATGGAGACCCACTGGGGTAAGGGCACGCTTGGTGTTTGCAGACCAGTCTAAGGCTCCCTAACCACACAGGGGTTCTATCGGCATTATTGTTTTTGAGGATTGAGGGAGCTGGCTGCAGCTTCCCTGCTTCAGACTAGGAATTAGTTGTGGTCATTAAGGACACTTAGTGAAGCTCAATTTAGTCTTAGAATTGGATGTCTAGCTTATGGAGCCTGCTTGAAAGCATGGAGATCAACTAAAGCAAATAAATCTAAACGACTCGATGCTGTTAGAGGAGACAGAAGGACTAAGGCAGCATTAACAGAGCAGAAAGTAAAATAGTGGCTGATTGTGTCTCCGTCTCAGGGAGCCCATAGCCTGAGTAAACGGGGCTGTGGGTATCCCAGGCAAGAGGATGGCTGTTAGATGATCCCTTGATATTCTACACAACTCTTTGATTCAGAACTTTCTATTCAACTCCAAATATCATTGAATAGTACACAGGCTGTAATTCTCTTTGAAAACTCTTAGATTTATTCCTAGGGGAACAGAATTTATTCTCTCTATTCTTTCCTACAGTGATAAACTAACATTTAAAAGAGTAACCTTGCAAATTTATCATAAAAGCAAGTGAGATTTTCAAGAAAGATGAAAATAAAGATCTGCAGAGATAAGCCATCTCAGCCTTTCAGAGTTTTGTTTGGTGTATACACTTACACGCATTTTATACAACAGGATTCAATAGTGACTATGCTGTTATAGCATGCTTCTTCGTCACATATTATTTTTACAAGTGTATTTTCATGTAATTTAGTAAGCTACAGCAACATTTGAAAATCACAGCATATTGTACCTTTGTTTGGCTGAATAACGACCTACTTAGTCCATGTCCTATCATTGGTCATATATGCTATTTCCCCCAAATCGTCAATCACAGTGTAAGTAATGACACTGAAGGAGCATCAGTTGGTCATTGAGTCCAATGTGATGCTTGCCTTAAAGTGAGCTGAGGACAATGCAGAGGGAAAAGGAGGCAACATTTCCATCTCACTAAGCCTGACCCATTTTGTAGTTTTATCTGGGTTGGAGAAAAGCCGGCGAGATGCAGTTTGTAGAAGAATGCATAGCAAGGCCATGGCAAGGACACCAAACAGCTCAAATGTGAGTAACACCGTAATGTGCCACCCACGATGGACATTCAGTTTCCTCACTGCTCTGCTAAGAAGGACCTGCAAGCCCCAGAGAGACTCCTTTTTATGCATAACATGTTGACAGCAGCTTGAGCTTGGATTTGGATTCACTTTAGTTCTCCCAAGTGCCATTCTCCCCTCTCTGGTCTTAGTATTAATCAATTCTTTGGAATAGAATCACTCCTGCAGAAGGTTTGTGGGTGGGTTAAAAAGTTTAATAATCCAAGAAGCCTCTGAACTTAAGATTTTAGTTTCTCTGGCTTATGTCATTCATATAATTATTTGTTCATGCAGCATTTCTGTATCATTTTTCTGATCGTTTGACACTATATGAAGTTTCCTGGCAATTTCCCCAATGCCAGCTTCTCAGCTTGCCTATGCAGTCACCACTCCCATTGAAATAAAGCAAATAAATGGCTGCAGAGCTGCCCAGCATTCAAATAAGAAAAACGTCAGCCTTTTGAGCTGCTAAACTGAACTGAACACCTCAAACTGATTTAGGGAACCATCTCTCTTCTGTTTTCTCAATCCTATTAAAACCATACACAGGAAAACATAGCAAGGTTTTCTTACACTTGGAGGACCAGGAAAATGTACTCTGCGCTAAGGTTTGATGCATGTTGTGTCTTTATGCCACACGTAAGCAGCCTGAAGTGTCATTTTTAAGGTGAACTCTGTTCACCTTATACCTGTGTTCAATCCATCATATGTTCACATGCAAATGCAACAAAACAAGTATCTATTGTATATTTACTTTGTGCCAGCTCTCTTTGCCATGTCTGCAGAGACAGATAGGAGCAAGAAATATGCCCTCCTTCAAGGAGTTCGAAGTTTAATTGAGAGGGACGCACACGCTAACCATAAAATTCGATTCCAGCTGGGGTAAGGGCTGCGGCAGAAGTAGGAACATGATGCTCCCAGAGCACCCAGAGGGAGCGCTTTATCTGCTGGGGCTGGAGGAAGCTAGAGACAGAGAGAGAGGTACTTGAGCTAGATCTGGATAAAAAGCAAATGGCAAGTGGGCCACACATGCTAAGGGGACCGTCCAAACGATGTTGCATATGTTAAAATGCAGGCCCTGAAAAGAAAGTGGCAAACAAGGCCTTAAGGAAACTGCCTAAAGTATGTATGCCTGGCACGTGGAGCAAGATGTGGCTGAAGAAGAGAGGAAGGGAGGGAGGGAAGGAGGGGGATAAGGGAGGAAGGGAGGGAAGGAAGGGAGGGAAAAAGGGAAGGAGGAAGCGAAGACAGGGAAGGAGGGAGAGAAGGGAAGAAGGGAAAGAGGGAAGGAGGAAGGGAAAGAGGGAAGGAGGAAGGGAAGACAGGGAAGGAGGGAGAGAAGGGAGGGAGAGAGGAAGGGGAGGGAGGGAGAGAGAGAGGGAGGGAGGAAGGAAAGGGAGAGAGAGGGAGGGAGGGAGGGAGGGGCAGGAGGGAGAAAGGACTGATTGTGGGTGAGGAGTTCAGGGTCGGCCCAGCTGTGGGCAGGTGGAAAAGGTTCAATAGGGATGGACTAATGATGAGTTCAGCATTCTGAGAAATGCATGAACATTCTTGATTAATCAGAAATCTCTCCAATAAGTTGAGAGAGGAAAATGGACTTATCATTTTAAGGTGGGTGAGCTAAGAATAAAAAAGGTCTCAATACGAAACAAAGTCAGATTTCTTAAATGATAATTTTAAATAAACCCCTGTCCAAAAGCAAGACACCTTCATTTATTGCATTGTTTGTTCTTTTATTCATTCATTCATTAAAGCTAAGATTGGAGTCAGCCTGCCCGGGTTCAAGCTGTGGATCCCTCAGGCTCTGTGACTTGGTGCAAGTTCCCAAACTCTGTGCTTCAGTTTCCACATTTATAAAGTTGGAATATTAATACCCTATTAACCTGTAAGGTTGGGGTGGGAAGTAAATGACTTACTGGATCTAAAGCTCCTTTAACAGGGCCTGGTATGAATGCTCAGTCATGTTAGCCCTTTTGTTCTGTGTGTGTCTGTATTCGTGCTCTCTGTGTGTCAGCCACATTGGAAATACTGAGTGTAAAAAGACAAAGGTGATATGACCCTACCCTCAAGCAGCTCGTGTCCAACGTGGAGCATATGTGGGAGTAAACCAGGACAGTTCAGCGTGGCAAACACTAGAATAGAGTGGTGTGCCGCACGCTCGGGAGGATGGTGAGGGTGGTGAGGGAGCCAAGCTGTCTGTCCTCTGCAGATGCCAGCAGAGTTCTCCCGGCTTCCATCTGGTCAACCCTCCCTGAAGTTCCTTGTTTTCTTTTTGTCTGCATGCCTCAGTGTAGGAAGGAGATTCCGATTTCTTCTAGATCTTTCATTTAAAAGGAGTAATTGCGCCATTTCACAAGGAACTTGACTGTTTAAAATTCTAGCTCTCTTGAATGGGGAATTTGATAAAGGGGCAGTTCTGAGCTGTGGGGTGAGGGGTATGTTGGGGGTATGCTCTGCCTTAGCCAATGGGAGTAGGAAGGAGACCCTGGGAGGGGAGAGTAGCTCGGGAGAACCACTCTGGGGGAAGGACAGTCAGAGAATAGAGCCAGGTTTTAACTACACCACGGGAGTCTCGGAGCCTTGGTGGAGCCTTGGGAAGACAAGGAGGAAAGGAGAGATAGGGACAGGTGGGCAAAGGCTACCTGCTCTTTCTTTGAGGCTGTATGGCGGGGGTAGAGAGTTGGTGCACTGGAGAAAAGGTAGCTAATATAATGGAGTTTCTGCCTCTGTACTTTGAGTGTAACTACCTAATGCCCCTGTTAGTCAATGACCCACGTGGGAAAGGCAGTGATGTAAGTTTCATTTTTTTTCTCTTTTTTGAAGTCCATGACTATATTAAGGACACCCTCCCACTATGGAAGTTGTGGAGGGAAAACCTGGAAGCACTCTGAAACTCAGTAGGTTTTTGGAAGTTCTTGACTCTTTCTGCTGCCAGCCCTTTTTATGAGATGTTGCTACTCACAGTAGCAATGCTCTGTTTTCAAGCATCTCATATGTGTCATTTCATTTTGATTTTCACAACAGCCCTGTAAGGTAGGCCTTACGGAATGGGCCTGTGGAATGTTATTTTTATGTGACACATGCTGATAAGTGAGGATAAGCTCGTCCAAAGGTGAGGGGCAGAGCCCGGGCTCTGATCCGGGTGTTCTGGCCTTGGATGCAAGTTTGTGTAGCTCTCTCTGCAGGCCCCTGCCAGCAGTGAGCAAGACAGATGACTTACCTCCTTTCCTTCTTCCACAGAAAGAAAACTTGGGCAGAGCCTCCTCACAGATGGGATAGGAGAAATTCAAAACAGATGAGCCTTTAGACATGAGAGCTAGATCAAGAAATAGCTCTTTGATGTCCTCTCCTGGAGGAAAGAGGAGAACAGCTTTACTCTTACTGTGTGTTTCACTGAGTATCAAAGGCATTCACAGTGTATGAGATAAAGAACCTTTTGTTTCCATTACTCTGCTCTCTGTGGGGAACAGTTTTCTTTCCTTGGTAAAACAGCCCTTAGTCAGTGCTACAGGGGATTATGATGGGATCTTGGGTATGAAAGTTGGCCGTTTCTCAAAATACCTGCTTGGAGCAAGGTAGCTAATCAGCTGAGCTCCCCACCCTGATGCTATGGCCTTTTAAAGTTATGTCTGCAGGTCTGGCTTCTGGAACTTCCCAGTTGCATAGTATCATTTGTTCCCCATGGTGGCGATGCGGTGTGGTCACACCTGCATACACCTGCTGCCGTCGCCCAAGAGGTATTGCAGCGCAGGTACAGGAGGCGGCAGCGGGTTCCATGGGCGTGGCTTCCAATTCTGTCTTTTTCTCCATTCCTCCCTTTCATGTTCCACCTACTCTTCCATGTCTCTTTTCTTTTTCTCTCCCTATAACATTTCTCGAGCTGCCGCTAGAGCCCAGATACTGTGTGAGATTCTAGAAATACAAAGATGCGTGAGAGTTCTTGATTTCTGTGAATGTTCCCTCCATTTCTCTCGAATGATTCCACATGCTAAGTTTTTAAAACCTCTCTACTTCGATTTTGATATAACTGTTTTGGAAAAGGAGATAGTCTAGTAGCTATAGCAAATATATTGACTAGCCGTAATTGCACGATCACATGAAAATTAAACAGTCAGAAAGTACTCTAGCTGATTGATTGGGGTTGGGGAGAAAATATTACCTCCCCTCCTTGCCTTTGTCCAGGTTTAAGAACTAGTATGAGCTATTTGGGATACAAAATAACATAGATGACAAACCATACTGTTGCCAGTAGATTTATTTGTTGCTAACTAAGCAAAAGTTAGGAGAGGCTGAGTAGACATTGATACTTAATCTCAAAATATTTTCATTTTTTGCTGGGCGTACTGATTTCAGGTGCTTATATCGTCCAAATGAGTGTCTGGAGTCTTTTAAACACAAAAGTACAGCATTAAATGAGAGTTCTACCCTACCTGGATTTTACCCAGAGAGAGATTTGAAAATGAAGATGTAAATAGAGTTAATTCCAGAGAGTGGTGAAGGTACAGTAGTTTAGCCAGTCATTATAGTTAACATAAGTCATTGGGTGTGTGGAGTCGGAAGAGGCTGTGAAATGCTTTATTTCATGCTAATCATTTTTTAAAACTTACTCAGGATAATTCCAAATCTAATGTTGACATTTGGTTTTAATTCCTTGGAACACTCTTCTATAGAAAAGCCAAAATCTTGCAATGGATCTGAGAAGAAGAAAACAATAGATTAGTTGTGAGTACATTTTATATATTATGCAAACATGTTCAAAATTTGCACAAGATTGTTTTCACATGAATTACTACATTTATTCAAAAGCATATTGTCCAACACTTTTAAAAATAGCCCATGGTATTTTCATCAGCTGCCCCCAGTGTCTTCACAGCTAATGTCAGGTTCACTCTAATGACAGGGTTTCCATCCATGGGATGAACAGTGTCTTGCTAGTTGGGTTATATTTTTACTTGTTGACGTTTTTATCATAGAAAATTTTTATCATTGTCTGAGTTACTTTAGTTCCTGAATGTTTGGTCTTAAAATTGCTCATAGATTGCACAAAGATTTTAATAAAGTATCTATTAGTATTATTAAAACAGAGGGAGATACAAAAGTTAGAAGGGCTTGAGTAGACATTAATATTTAGGCTCAGGCTGTGTGCGGTGGCTCATGCCTGTAATCCCAGCATTTTGAAAGGCTGATGTAGGCAGATCACCTGAGATCAGGAGTTCGAGACCAGCCTGGCCAACATGACAAAACTCTGTTCCTACTAAAGATACAAAAAATTAGCCAGGTGTGGTGGCATGCGCCTGTAATCCTAGCTACTCAGGAGGCTGAGGCAGGAGATTCACTTGAACCTGGGAGACAGAGGTTGCAGTGAGCTGAGATCATGCCATTGGACTCCAGCTTGGGCAACAAGAGGGAAATTCCATCTCAAGGAAAAGAAAAAAGATAATTAGGCTCGAAATATTTTCTCAAAAGATTTTCAAAGTTAAGACCTGCCTTTGTAATTCCATTTTATCCCATCCCATCCCATCTCACCCCATTTAATGTAATATTTCTCACTCCCAAATATTCCACTATGTACAAGGTATTGAGTTAGATATGATGGGGCTATAAGGATAATATTTTCCACATGTAACTTCTGCTCATTCACAAAGCTCCAGCGGCTTAGCTATGCATCAGAATAGGTCCAGAAATGATCCACCGGCTCCAATATCCATGCTCCACATCAACAATCCATCCTCCATTCCTTGAGACCAGGGTGGCAACCTACACACCAGCACATTTCCACCATGTTTGATTTGCCTGTGTGCCTTCTCCCATTCGCAGTGGTCTTAGCCTTTTTGGCCATTGTTTAAATCTTGGGTCTTGATCATTCCCATCTTCTTTGTGAAGGCTTTCCTGCCCCTAAATATTCTCTTGCTTCCTTGAATTCTTAAAACAAAGGTGTCTGGCGTTCTCGGTAAAGTGTACAAACATGTATCACTCTGTACTTTGCTATGGGGCTTATCCCACAACACTTAATCTACACATGAGATTCCTTGAATGTCAGAGCTAGTTTCTTGTTTTGTTTGTTTTCCATTTCCTTTTCCTTTATGTTTCCCACTGGGCTGGAGACAGGAAAGCTATTGTTAACAGAGGGTTTACCTTGTACTAATAGCTGAGCTTTGCACTTTCCTGGTGTTTTTCCCTTTAATTCTCCAGGTTCCCCAGCACCTACCAGAGAGCCTCACAGTCTGACACACAGTACACACTCCATAAGTGTACATGATGAGTGAATGGGTGGGCCATATAGTGGAGCTGTTTCTCAGCTCCAAATCCAGCCCTCTCTCCTCTGCTTTTTAACTGGGCTCTCGGCAATCATGTTTCTTTTTTGCTGTCTGCCAGCCAAGGTACCAGGGAGACAGAGGCTGGACTTGAAGAAGGGACTTGCTCCTTCTTGAGTGCTTGGTGAGAGTGTCAGTGGCGATGGACCATCACCCTGGCAGTGGCAGTTGGCTCCAGTTTCCTGCTCTCTTTTGCACTTTCCCAGCATCAGCCAAGGCTCAGCTCTGTGGGGCCCTAAGCTACTGCAATAACAGCACATCAGAAGCTGCCACCCCTTCCTTAGCAGTCTGTGTCTCAGCTCCACGGGTCCTTCTGCCAGGCATCCAGTTTCTTTCTTTTTTTTTTGAGACAGAGTCTTACTCTGTCACCAGGTGCCAGGCTGGAGCGCAGTGGCACGATCTCGGCTCACTGCAACCTCCACCAGCAATTCTCCTGCCTCAGCCTCCCGGGTAGCTGGGACCACAGGCCCATGCCACCACGCCCAGCCAATTTTTGTATTTTTAATAGCGATGGGGTTTCACCATGTTGGCCAGGATGGTCCTGATCTCTTGACCTCGTGATCCGCCCGCCCCGGCCTCCCAAAGTGCTGGGATTACAGGCTTGAGCCACAGCACCTGGCCCAAGCATCCAGTTTCTAATCACCACAATCTCTGCCTTTGCTCTCTCAGCCCTCAGAGGTCCTTTCTTTGGTTCTCCAGCAACTGGTTTTCTAACCAACTCCCTATATCAAATTCTCTCTGTTAAAATAACAGATATGGTCTTCGTTTTCCTGACAGGACTTGCAGAATAAACAATAATCTGAAGAGATAGGTATAATGTACCTCACTTTACTGTTATGAAAATATAGACTCAGAGACATTGTATTAACTTACCTGGATCCCCACATTAGAGAGTGTCAGAGTCAAGATTCAAAGCCAGAGTTAAAAACAAACAAACAAACAAATTGCTCCCTGGTATTGTGCCGTGAAACTCACAAAGTAGAACCTCAACTACATATGGTACTTATTTGATTTGTAAGATTGCCCAGAATATTTTATGTGCAGTCATATGGCATCTGGTAGTTCTGTTTCATAACTGATTTCCATTTCAGCTTCGCTATGAGCTCACATTTGCCAATGATAGTGTTCCAGACAGTTTTATCATCCACTTGCTGACCTGGAAGATGCATCATTGTCTATGATATCTGCAATGGAAATGATCACGAGGCAATTTCAGCCTTGCAAATCTAACGTAAGTACACTTCTGTTTGATCAAAACCCCTTTGGCCCAGTCGCTAGTTCTCCTAAGGGTAGGGAAGAGCCCTTTTGTCTTATGCTCATTGGACTCCTTCCTAAGTATCTCTGTGGTGGTCAGGGCTTCCTTCAGCCTGGAAAATAGGAGCAGGGGATTGGAGATGATAGTTCCTGCTATATCCTTGGCACTCTGTATTGAAAAAGCTAGACGCCAGTGAACAGATGTTTAGGAAGGTGCATCCTCAAAATCGTGGATAAATTTAAGTTGCTATCCAGGCAAAATAAAAGAGGCTAAGTATGTGTTACGTTGTTAATTAGCAGCTACAGAATTACACTGTCTGTTTATCAATATTTTAAAGGAATGGATAGAAAGAATCAACTAAGGGTGGGAGAAGGAAGCAGAGCATTTTCTTGGTGCTAGAAACACGTTGTTAGGAAAATAATCTTAATAAGGAACAAAGTCACAAAGAAAGCTGTAGGCTGCATCTCTCTGAGGATCCGTATATAAAAGCAGAAAGACAGATTGCTTAAAAAGTGCTTAGGGGTTTGGTGAGCTTTCCTAGCAGTTATTTCAAATTTATATGCAAGAGTGATATCTTTGAGTATAAACATGCAGTCTGTGGTCCTCTTGGGGAAAGTGACATTGGTTCCTCCTCCTCCCCCAAACCCATCTCTTAAACTCATATCCTTCCCTGCATTTATTTGCATTTCCACTCAGGCACTTTGAATGCTCTATATTACATTATATTTGTTTGTATACCTCTGTCATTCCTTCACTAGATGCTGCAAAGCTGACTCCCCGGTGCCAGGGCTATGCATAATGTCTTAAGATGACTTCAGATCTCCAGTGATTGTTTGCTGGATAAATAATAGTGATTATTTGTAGTAAATTTGCTGAGAACCTGAAGGCAGGATTTCTCAATATTGTCACTATTGACATTTTGTTTTGGGCATCCTTTGCGGTGGGTGTTGTCCTGCACATCTTAGGATGTCTAGCAGTATCCCTGCTCTCTCTCCACCAAATGCCAGCAGCACCCCCATTCCCTCTAGCTGTGACAACCAAAAATATCTCTAGACATTACCAAAGTATCCACGGGGGACAAACTCATCCCTGGTGGCGATCACTGCTTTAAACAATCGACTTATCAATTTCCAGGCTTTATCTATGCTACAAATGACTCAGAATCACCTCCCAAAATAAAAGACGGTAGGTTGCATTTTAAAGTAGTTCTCCTTCTACAGTGTGAAGAGTGATAGGCGGGCCGAGAGTGGAGAGACTTTCCCTTGGAGGCTTGCCTCAGTAACTTTTAATACATGTAAGACGGATCATCTAGCTTTGGACTTTGTGAAACAATAACATTGGAAAGTTAATCAGAGTTGGTGTTCTGGGAATTCAAGGGCAGAGATAAGTGTTTCCTCCGGATACTTCACTGTATTTCAGCAAATGAGCCGAGGAAAGAAGTCAAACCTTCATCATGAAATAGAAGACTGTTCATTTTCACTATTTCTTCCTTGGCCTCTATGTGACACTCCCTTGCTGTCTGTCCTGCTGACTTCTACGGCTTCAGCCCAAGGGAGGACAGCATTATAGTGGATGAACCCAGCACACCCCAAACTGCGCCTGCTCCCCTCTCCCCCAGCCACGTGGGCCTTGGAAGGCAGGCTTCTTCAAACCAGCAGCATGTGAATCCTGCCAGAGGTGAGGAGGAGCTCCAGGAGAGCAGCCAGCAGCATCTGTTTTGCATACTAAGGGCAGCGACAATCAAATTTCTCCTAGAAAGTTTTTCTTGGACATTCATAAAGTAAAATAGAATTGGATAAACAAGCCAGGTTTAGAGTGAGCAGGGTTTGAAGAAATCTCAGCTCTAAAGGTATTTTTGTGCCTTCTGCTCTCTGTTAGTGGCCTAGGCTGGGCCAGACCTGGGCAGTTGTTGAGGGGAGGACAACCTTGCCAGAGTGGTTTCTATTAATAGCTACAAGTGGGCTGTCAACTGGAATCAGTAGGAAGAAGACAAAATCCAATGGCAGAGTCTCTAGAAGTGAAATTCCTCAGCAGAGGATGGTGGGGCCCCAGGTGCACTCCACTGGACCAATCCTTGATTTGTTTTCAGGCAGCCCGAAAGCTTGGATGTATGTCCCCAAATCCT